GCCCTCCACCACCCATCGTGCAATCCAGTGTGCAGGTCCCTCACACCCCTCAGACGACGCACATGGCATTTCAGCACCATGGAGAAAGTCCGCAGCCGCCGAAAAGCGCTGTCCAGTAATACAGGGGTTCACACCGAAACCCTAAAGCCAAGCTCAAAGGGCGTATGCCCCCGCCCGACACGCGCCGGTGCACCGGTGTGCGGGGCGCCGGCACCCCGCATCACTCAGTCAAGCGCATGGGCGCAGAGGATGGACAGCCGCAAAGCTTGAACGAAGGGCAGGAAGGCCACGGGGCGCCCGCTCAACCAGGCCGGCGCGCCGCCTGACGGCGCGCTGGCGCCGAAGCTCTAGGCATGCACGTTGGCGCCAAGGGTGGACAGCCGCCCAGCTCAAACATGCTGCGCCGCGCTTTGCAACCATGTTTGTGAACCTGCCTGCACACGCCCGCATGCACGCCCGTGTGCGCAGCGCAGACCTGCACACATTTGGGGCCTTGCTTTGTGCACGCCTGCTTTGCACGGCAAACGGTGGCCACTTAAGTCCCCGTCGCACAACGCTGATGCTACAACGCCACATCCCGTGAGCCTAGATGGCTCCAGGAGCGGGCGACCGCGGGTTCTTGTAACAATCCTAATCCTGATCCTTCTGCACTCTTTAACACCGAGCAGTCAGGTAGTACAGTCAACCCTTGGTTATAGCAAACACTGTTATAGCGAAAAACCACGTACAGCGAAGGAATTCCAGGTCCCAATGTGTTTCAGTACATTTTGCCCCCGGATACAGCGAATTCAGAAGCCGCGTACAGCGAACGGCGCCAGCCTGCCGCCTTCACTGTAACCAGGGGCCCTGCTGCTGCAGCCGCGGGGCGTGCGCGCCCGTGCCGCCGTGCAGCTGCATGCGACGCCAGTGTTCCAAACAACTAAGAGAACAGAATAGCACTTAGCATATGACTGTGCTTGTCAAGGGGTCACATGCTTATGACAGGTTTATGACACATAGAGCTACAGTAGGTGCGCTGCCGCACAACGCGCACGCAGCGCCCCGCCGTGCAGCGGGCACCAGTCACTGCTTGCGCGCACACCTGCGGCAGGCCTTCTTGACGGGTGCGCGGTTCTTGCAGCCACCGTATAGACATGTTCGCGCCACAACCTTCGCACGTGCTTCTTTCAGCCAAAACTTCGCCTCAGCTTGGCAACCGTAAACCCTACCCTAAACCCTAAACCCTAGGGCAAGCGCGAAAACCTGACGGTGGGCGATAAACTTAAGGTGCTCGATCTTAGGACAAAGATCCCTAAGATAGATCGGCTCAACCGCACGGCAGTGTGGGCGCTGCAGCGGCGCCGCCGGAGCGACATTCGCATGTTCTTTCCGCCCACACCCGGGCAGTAGCGGCTGTCAAGGCCGTGGGCCTGTAATCTACTGTTGACTGGATACAGCGAACGCCAGCCCCTAGAATTTACTATACTGATTCAGCGAAAAACCACGTATAGCGAACGGATTCCGGACAAAAATGGGTTCACTATAACCAAGGGTTGACTGTAACTCAAAGTTTGCGAGTAGGTGCTTGCGTAAAATTGAGTTATCAGCAAACACATCAACACATTGCTAAGGCTCCTGCGGGCTGCTCCAGCCTGCTGAAACCCAGCGCGTGAGTGCCCTTCGTTTGTCCTTTGAGGTTTGGCAGCTGCACTGCCAATCGAAACATGTTTGCTGAACTCTCTGGTGTTCATCTCTCATGCAACCCAAATTCAGCGAATTGCACATTACTTGGGAGGTCAGGATGGAGTGTCCAAGTGCAAATGCGGCAACACGAGGTGCGTGTCGGAGGGCGGCGGCGGGGGCGCATGCCGTGCCGAGCAAACGAGGTCTGTAGCGTATGCCTGCCTGTTACGGGATGTCGTACAAAATTAAATACAGTGTGATGCTTGCACTATACTACTCTCAGCCAAGGCCCCCCCTGCCAGTCACTCAACATTTGACAGCAGGCCTGTAGACTCGCATGCCTGCACGACCTCGTAGCCGACGCCTGTCGGCGAGTACGGCAGAGGCTTGCCCTCTGCCAGGTGGGTGCGGTCCAGCAGGCGGTCCAGGGTGGGCTCGTCCACGACGCCCGACTGCGGCACGTCATCGCCCGAAGAGTCAGACTTCAGCAGCTCCAGCAGCTCCGCCGCGTTCATGCTGCCAGACACGCCGCTCTATTGTTGCAAGAAGTGAGAGCCGTGGGGGTCGTGAAGGGTTGCAGACTGCAGGACTCACTTCTATGTGCGCGAATCTATCAAGGGACGAGACTTGAGTGCTGTCCCTGCACAGGGCGCCCACCTGACCATTTTCCAGCCACATGACATCAAATGGCCTGCAACATGGTACTTTGCCAAGTGCCGGGCTGCCTGCCGAGGCCCACCTGGTCCACCACCTCCTTGAAGACGCCCTTCTTGATGACCAGCCGCTCCAGCGCCATCTTCTCCCCTGCACGCTTCAGCATCTTGCCCTCCACGCTGTGGGCGGTGGCCAGGCGAAACACCAGCACGGGCCTGTGCTGGCCGATGCGGTGGCAGCGGTCCATCGCCTGTTGGGGGCAAAGGAGACATCATTGGAGCCGCAGGTTGAGGAATGCTGTGCTCCACAAAAGCTGGGAACTTAGTGCATATAGTGCCAAGTGCATGGCCCAAGCAGCAACATCGCAGTTGCAGCCCGTTGAGAATCAAGGCTACCACAATGGATATTGATGGGCTTGCTTGACATGGAACATTCCCGGTTGCATGCCTGCAACATTTGAAAATGGGCCCAACAGTGCCGGGCATCCTGTCGCTCCCCCCTCATGGCTCATGGGCAAGGCAAATGTTGAGTTGTCTAGGCGCGGATGGGCACCCACTGGGGAACCACACACACGGCAGTACATCAGCTGCACCGGGCTTGCACAGCTCACCAGACAGAGGTTGCCTTGCAAACGGCAAGCTGCCCCCTGCTCTCGTGTACAAAGTTATTGCAAAGACCACCAGGCAAGCACGCTGGCTCCCAAGCCCCACCTGCAGGTCCTGGTGAGGGTTCCAATCACTGTCGTAGATTATGACGGTGTCTGCTGATGTCAGGTTGATTCCCAGGCCACCCGCGCGCGTGGAAAGCAGAAACAGCCAGGTCTTGGGGTCGCTGTTGAAGTCGCGGATGTTGGCCTGGCGCTCCTGCCATGCGATGGAGCCGTCAATGCGGCAGGCGCGCTCCCCGCGCTGCTCAAGGTACGTCTCGATCAGATCCAGCATCTTGGTCATCTTGGGGGTAAGCCAGCAATGGGAATTTGGTGGTGTGGAAAAGTAGGGACCCAATCCAACCCAGGGTCCGGACTGTGCCAGGATGTGCCGGCTGTGCATGCGCAAGAGTCCTAGATGGCGAATGGATCACGCCACCATCGCGCAACGTCACTTTACCCTTCGAGCCCTGGCTCCCCTGACCTGTGAAAAGATAAGGACCTTGTGTCCCCCAGCCTTGAGGCGGTCCAGCAGCCGCTGCAGCAGCGCCAGTTTGCCACATTGCTCCACCAGCACCTCAGGGGAAGGGTACATGGTGCTGGCGCTGAAGGGGCCAGTGATCAGGTCGGGGTGGTTGCAGTTCTTGCGCATCTGGAGCGGTTGGAGGGTGCGAGTGGTATTTGGAGTGGGGTTGGAGGTTGACCTTGGCGAGGAGGAACGTTCGAAGGTGCGCACGCCGCCCATGACTTTCAAGACCGTCCTTCCATCCTGCCCCACTACCCGCACCTGCATGAGCACGTTGTTCAGCTTGCCCAGTGACGCCGTGCTGCCGCCCTCCTGGTCCGCCACGCGCGCCATCTCATCCTGTGGAATGAGGGGGGGGGGTGTCAAGCGCACCATGTGAACTGTAGGGGGTGGTGGGCAAAGTGCCCTGGCGCCGAAGACACCGGAATCAAGGAGGCTCATGGACGCGCGCAGCGAGGCACAGCACAAAACACCGCTTTTGCGCGAGTGCGCTGGCCCCCTCTCCCTGTTCAACCCTCACCGCCAGCGAGCGCTCCAGCAGCTGCTGGTTGAGCTGCTTCTGCAGTGCCGTCATAGGCGCGTACAGCAGCAGCTCCTGCTTGCGGGGCAGCGCAATCTCGACGTCTGCCTTGATGCGGCGCAGAAGGAAGGGCTTGAGCAGCGAGTGCAGCTTGTCCACCACCGCCGCCCGCTGCTCTGCTGCCACCAGCTCCGCGTCCTCCTCGCCGCCGCCCACCACGCTGCTGGCAATGTCAAACCAGGACTCAAAGTCAGCCAGGTTGCTGAAGATGTCTGGCAGCAGGTAGTTGAGCAGGGACCACAGCTCGGCCAGGTTGTTCTGCAGCGGGGTGCCTGGTGGTTTGGTTGGTTGGTTGCAGGGGGTTGGATTGATTGACATATGAGCAGGAAGCTTCAGTACAAGACGCGCAGGACGCGCCGGGATCACTGCATGTTGATGTACGCGCAGTGTTGACGAGACGAGGGGCGTGCACACAGCGGGCTCCTCCCGCACCCTTTGACATCACTTCCCAGCCCGCCCATGCCCCAGCCCCACCCGTGAGCAGCAGCTTGTTCTGCACGTCCAGGGTGCGCAGCTCGCGCAGCAGGCGGCAGTTGGAGTTCTTGAGGCGGTGGCCCTCGTCCACCACGATGTACTTGTAGTTATACTTCGACAGGGCCTTGATGTCTGCCATCACAATCTCAAAGCTGGTCACAATCACAGGGAATGTGGGGCCCGCGGTGCCTGTTGCGTGGGAGGGTGCAGAGGAAGGGAGGGTGCGGCATGTTGGCAGAGGCACACGCACACGGGCTCAGCGGACGTGATAGCCACAAGGCAAGCGATTGGTGACCTGATGCCGCCCACGATTCCCCCTCCCAGGCTCCCATACTACCCGTTTTGGCCTTGCCTGTGGGCATGGACCTGGCGCGAATCTCCGCGCGCTCCTGCCTGCTGCCGTGGTAGAGCACCACCGGCAGGCTGGGGCACCAGCGCTCCACCTCACTGACCCAGTTGGGCAGCACAGACAGCGGGCCCAGAATCATGAAGGGCCCGTGGATGCCATTGGCGCGCAGGTGAGCCAGCAGGCCGATTGTCTGGACCTGGACAGGGGCCAGGGAGAAGGTTGGGTTGGCAAAAGCAAGGCAACTGCTGGGCCGTGGCCACTGCGAGCGCATGCCAGGGTCAGCAAGCATCCCAGTCAAGGTCAAGGTGGCGGCTAGCAATCCAGGAGCAGCACAGGAGGAGACGTGCCGCACCGTCTTGCCGAGGCCCATCTGGTCAGCCAGGATGCCATTGAGGCCATTCTGCCACAGGCTGATGAGCCACCTGACGCCTTTCAGCTGGTAGTCGCGCAGCTCGCCATTGATCAGCGGCAGAAGGGCCTGGCCGTGGTGGGGTGGGGTGGGG